TGCTGTGCCTGCAGCGGTATAGGTGATATTAGCACAGCCATAGGCTGTTTGTACGGTTGTCGAACCCGCTATTACATGACCAGTTGCGGTAAGAAACGATTTCCTGATTGTATCATTTCCTGCAACATAAAAATATCAGGGATTTCCGAAGATGCCCCACAACACACACACACCAAGGACATCTCGAAACGGCTAAAGTTGACAAGGTCAAGTGCTTCTGTCCAGACATCCGCTATATTGGTAATTCTTTCAAAATTCGAAAAGTGTCGTGTAGTTGCCAATTCCATGAATGATGCCTTTGGCCCCTGCCAAGTGTTGCATGACAAAGACGATGGCGGGAGGGGAGGCGGGGGGAGGTCAGGCCCCTAGATTTGTGATATGACTATGTATCGTGTGAGTGACTCATGGTGTTCATTTCATTGTAATCTTCTCACTGTGTGTTGGATAGAGGATTGAGAGGAGGTCATCGACGAAACGGCATTTTGTTCTACTTGCTCTTTACCCTCACTATCTCCACAAAAAAGTACGTTAACATTTTCAGCAGGCCAAACGCTAGGACACTGCAATATCGGCAAAAAAAAAAAATTGGAAGAACTACTAGTTGGGACCGGAGGGCAGAAAAGCTGTAAGTAAAGAGATAAGACGTTTCGGTCCTCTGAGCCATGAACTTCTTAACCTTAGCATCACAACTGGACCTGATCAGAATTTTCGAGAAACTTTTTGCTGTAAATTCAGAGAACAGCCAGTTAGAGGAGATGAATTATCCTTAGCACAGTCAGAGATTTCAGTGGGATGTTTTTTATCGACCAGTTAAATAAGTTAATCGCTTTCTTCTCCTGAACAATATTTGTCGCTCAACAGAATCGATTGCATGTCCGGTCGGTTAGTTCTTGACTTATCCCTTCATCTTCTCGTTGACCCTTTTGGCCTTTTACGCAAACTGGTCACGTACAAATACAATGGCTCAGTTGTAATTCATTGTCTAGTTCTCCATCTGAGCACTTATTTTAATATTCCAACTGTAATTTGAGCACAGCTACATCGTTTGATGGGCAGTCTGCTAGTGATTCTGATGTTTTTTTCATTCCATCCCAGTGGCTCTCTTGATACAAGCATAAGCTAGGTTTTAGCCGTTTCACGGAGCCCGTGTGATGTCAAAAAACCCAGAGAAGACCGTCAGTTGGTGGAAGAATCCGCTTGAACAGCTGTATGGAGCTATATGGATGATGAAGGCCCACGGAGGAGGAGTGCATTTCGGGGTCAAATGGTCTGAAATTGCCCCGCATCCGATCTCGTTTCGAATGCAGTCAACCCTGGCTGTTCATGACGGAGGTATCTTAACACGTAGAGGACCTGAGCGTAAATTCACAGGCTCAACGCTTCATCACATTCCATCCAGTTTAACCCAAAAGCGCGAAACCAGTAATGTGGGAAGATAATTTTATAGAAAGTCGCAAAAAAACCACGTAATTCTCAGCACTAACCTTCTCTGTTGCTTCTGAATCCTTGTAAACTTTTATATCCATATAAAGATTCATTATTAAATGTATCATTTCCATAACTGCAACTGGTTCAAATCATGGATATCTTAGATTTACAGCGGCTTGAAAACGAAAAAAGGAAGAAAAGATGGCAGAAAGAAGGGATCAGGGCGGGGCGGAGGGAAGGGGAGAGGAAGGGGGAAAGGAGATTACTTCCCATCCACGTTTTTCTCGCCAAAACATACTAAAATCCCCGACTCCGAAACAGCAAAACTCAATCGGGCATAGCAAAAATAAAAAGGCGCGTTAACTGACCATGCAATCACGAAAAGATGCTTCAATAAACCTTTGAAGCGATACTTATTTTGTTATTTAAAACTTTTATAGCTAAATTTTTTAAATTCTTGGATTCTCTGAATATGTAGTAGCTCAAACTGAATGCTTTAATTCCTGTATAATCGTTCGAACAAAATCTTTTCAAATCTTTTCAGTTCCGGCTTTTTGTTAGAAATTACATTAAGATGCAATTGCTCGTTATGTACTTT